CCGGCGCAGGGAGCCTCGCTCCGGCCGCTCTCCTGGCTGCCTGCGCCGCTGCGGCCGCCACCATGGGGCCGGCGACCGGGAACTTGGTCCAGACTCTCCTGGTGCTCTACTGGCTGACCCGCTGCTGCGCGGGGATAAGCTCCATGGACATCGACCGCCCCGGGGACGGGAGGTGCCAGCCGATAGAGATCCCCATGTGCAAGGATATAGGGTACAACATGACGAGGATGCCCAACCTGATGGGACATGAAAACCAAAGGGAAGCGGCCATTCAGCTGCACGAGTTTGCCCCCTTGGTGGAGTACGGCTGCCACAGCCATCTGAAATTTTTCCTCTGCTCCCTCTATGCCCCTATGTGCACAGAGCAGGTATCTACACCAATCCCAGCCTGCAGGGTTATGTGTGAGCAGGCGAGGCTGAAATGCTCTCCTATTATGGAGCAGTTCAATTTCAAATGGCCAGACTCCTTGGACTGCAGCAAACTGCCCAACAAGAACGACCCCAATTACCTGTGCATGGAAGCCCCCAACAACGGATCAGATGAGCCACCCAGAGGATCCAGCATGCTGCCACCCATGTTTCGTCCACAGCGACCCAGCAGTGGCCACGATCTGCAGCAGCATAAGGACAGCCTCAGCAGAACCTCCTGTGAAAATCCTGGCAAGTTCCACCATGTGGAAAAGAGCGCTTCCTGCGCGCCGCTCTGCACTCCAGGGGTTGATGTTTACTGGAGCAAGGATGACAAACAATTTGCTGTCATTTGGATTGCCATCTGGTCCATTCTGTGCTTCTTCTCCAGTGCTTTTACTGTACTCACTTTTCTGATAGATCCTCAGCGTTTCAAGTACCCGGAGAGGCCCATTATCTTCCTCTCAATGTGCTACTGTGTCTACTCCGTGGGGTACATTATTCGCCTCTTTTCAGGTGCTGAAAGTATTGCCTGTGATAGGGACAGCGGCCAACTCTATGTCATCCAGGAAGGACTAGAGAGCACTGGCTGCACCATTGTGTTCCTGGTTCTGTATTACTTTGGTATGGCAAGTTCCTTGTGGTGGGTAATCTTGACTTTAACTTGGTTTCTAGCAGCTGGGAAAAAATGGGGGCACGAAGCAATTGAAGCAAACAGTAGCTACTTTCATTTGGCAGCATGGGCCATTCCAGCTGTGAAGACCATAATGATCCTGGTTATGAGAAGGGTGGCTGGAGATGAGCTGACAGGGTTGTGCTATGTTGGAAGCATGGATGTGAATGCGTTGACGGGGTTTGTACTCATTCCTTTGGCTTGTTATCTAATCATTGGCACTTCTTTTATTCTTTCTGGTTTTGTGGCCCTTTTTCATATCAGGAGGGTGATGAAAACAGGTGGAGAAAATACTGACAAGTTGGAGAAACTTATGGTCAGGATTGGTGTCTTCTCAGTCTTGTATACAGTGCCTGCAACTTGTGTGATAGCTTGCTATTTTTATGAAAGACTTAATATGGATTATTGGAAAATTGTGGCAACTCAACAGAAATGCAAGATGAACAATCAGACTAAAAATTTAGACTGCATGATGAATAACTCTATTCCAGCAGTAGAAATTTTTATGGTCAAAATTTTTATGTTATTAGTTGTGGGCATTACTAGTGGTATGTGGATCTGGACTTCCAAGACTCTTCAGTCCTGGCAAAATGTTTGTAGTCGAAGATTAAAGAAGAGAAGTAGGAGAAAACCTGCAAGTGTTATTACGAGTAGCGGAATCTACAAAAAACCTCAACATCCTCAGAAAACTCACCTTGCAAAATATGAATCGACATTACAACCACCCACTTGTGTGTGACTAGGTTTTAGAAAAGACTATATCTCACCTTACAGACTTAAAAATGTCCACAGTAGCAGTCAGAAATTAAAAAAATAAATGGTGCTTTTTTGTCCGAGAACAGTTTAGTATCTCAAGGCAAAAAATATATCATGCTGAATTCAGGACCTGGTGAAAAACCGAAGGTAAATGTACTTATGGAAAGCTTTTCAGTGAAAGAAATATTGTGAATTAAAACATTCTCTTCTGTTACTAATTTGTAGTTAAGTACTTCATCCAGCCCTCAGATTTATTAAAAAAACAAAACAAGACAAAACAAAAAGCAACAAAATCTTTTTGATGTAGCTGGGCTGGATTTCCTACAGATTTCTGAATAACCAGATATAGTCAGGTTTTATGGAGCAATGATTTTATTTTAAAAGTGCCCAAGTGAGCATTGTCTTTTTAGGGAAACGAAGGTCCCAGAGAGGCCTATCCTCACGAAGTTCCCTATCTGGGAAAGAAAGCAACTTCCGTCCTCACTTTTTTTTTTTTTTTAAAGAGAGAAAGAGAGAGAAATCCTTTACAACTCATCTCAGCCTAGTGGGTCTGGAATGCCTAAAAATAGGTTCAATCTATAATGCTCACCAATATTCTTTCACTAAAAGAGAAACTTCCTGCACCAGACACAAACTTTGTGAATAAGAATAATGTGCAATACATTTTTTTTTCTTACCACGACATGAAAAGAGAAACAAGTATTTTGCTGTACATAAAGACAACAAAAGAAATCTCTTAACAAAAGAACTAAGAGGTCTAGTCCTCAGAAACCCTTTAGTGTTACATTTTGTGGCTTTTTAATGGAAATCAAGCCAATGTTATACACGTTTGGACTGATTTGTGCAAAAAAAAAAGGGGGGGATCAATTCAAAGAGACCCAAAGGGCTTATTGACTCTTTCTATTATTAAACAAATTCTCACTATGAATAGATCAAGAAGCACTAGATTCTGCAAAGGGAAGCTTTGTATAGAGTGATGCTCTTTACTGTGCTGGGGGTGCACAGTTTTGTGCTGTATATATTTGTAATATACAATTATTTTTCATGCTCCACTATTTTATTAAAAATAAAATATGTTCTTTAGTTTGATAATTTTGTGTGTTCTAAACTTTCTCTGATGTGCTTTGTGGTTAATAAACTTTTCTCAATTATTTGATAAAAGCACACTTTGAATATAATAGTTGTTTTTATACTTGCCTGCAAGTATGAACAGATAGAACAATAATTTACTCAAGAGAAATTACAAGCTGGAATTAAATAAATGGATTTTGAAGTTGCACCTTTTTGGGAACCTCTGCAACTGAGCAAACTGAATGGGAAGAAGCTTTAGTGATGTAAAAAAGCTGCAGTGATGTAGAGTAGTAAGTATCATGTTTACAAAGCACTGAGATTACAATGATCCTTGGTTAACACCCCTTTAAAATTTGCATAGGGTATGTTCAGCATGTTAAAAATAGCTGTCTCACTTCAGCACAGTTTCAACACAATTCAGTCTCTGCTCTTCTGGGACTTTTTTTTCCCCCTTATTACTGAAAGTATCACTATTATTTGGGAAAAGACTTCAGGAAGATTGGGAGAAAGAAGAGGGGAATTACAGAATTTGAATACTACTTTAGGAAAGCTATCTGATAAAGTTAAAATTGCAAATATATTTTCAAAAAGTTTTTATTGGAGCATGATTTTGTCTGAACCTGAAGATTTCCACACAGTTGACTAACAGGCTGTGTGATCACCTGGTGAGATAGTAATATAAGCTCACTTTCTCACACAGGCTGTTCTAAAAAACCCTTTATCAGGTATCTCATCATAGAAAGAAGAGAGGTCTTAATGGACTTTGGTGGAGGGAGGATCCCTGTGACAGTCATCTTGTGGCTAGGAACTTTATAACAAAAGGATCTTTTTTAGTGGCCTGGTTTTTCAATTATCTGTGCAGTGCTACAGATGAATTTTTGTCATCTTGTAGTCTTTTAAAATGTTTCTAGGAACTTGAATGACAAAAATTATGTTGCAGGTATTATTCATAATCTTTATGACTAAAACGCACATATGCAAAAAAGTTGCTTTCAAAATAAAATTTTATCTTTTGGGGGAAGAGGAAATACATTTTTCCTCCTTTGTGCCTGTGTGCCACTGTTTGATACACAGCTTTTAGATGCGCTGGAAGTTAATCCTGCCAGAGCACACCCAGCTGGAGCCAAAGTAGGACATTGCGCTAAACAAATCCACTTCTGAAACTACTGAATTAATACCTTTACATCTGTTCCTGTTCTAGGTAAGATCAATTACATTAGATTCTAAGGAGTACAAAGTTTTTAAATAACCTGTGTATTGCAACTTGCTACAGGAATCCTCCAAATGGAGGATTTGTTATTCTGTGTGTCACCTTGCCAGTAACATATCTGCTTCACAGAAATTTAATCTCTGATGTAAAGATTAGTGCTGGTTTTACTAGTGACAGATTTGTTTAGAGAATGGTTTCAGGCTTCACTCTAACATACATTAGTCACTGAAATAAACATCTCACTATTTTTGCAGACTATGGAAACTGATTTGCTTTCATTGTTGATCATGTGTTTTTGCAGTCTGCTACTAGGCTTCTGGAAAAGGAAAAAGAAATGAAGATAGATGTTCAGCAGTGGCTGAATACCTGCTGCCATTCTGAGTTAAATCAGTTGTCAGTTTAGACCCTTCATTGTCACCAGAGCAGAACTGCAAGTTCTTCTATGAAAATGCCAAATATGAATGCTTGGCTAAATACATCATGTTACAAATAGATTCTTGCTAAACTGTAAACTAAGTGTTTTGATTTTATTTCAGCTTTCCAATTATTAAGGAATTTTTTTTCCTTTTTTTTTTTCTTTTTTTTTTTTTTACTGGTAAAAACTAGATTCTTCAAGTATATAATGATACTGATTTCATTACATTGAGACTAAGGTACTATAAATGCAGCAGTGTATAATGATTGTCTTTAAGGACATCTTAAGAATGAATTAATTCAGAAATTGTCATTCTTACTGTCCCATAACTTCTAACAATCTTAACAGTTTTCTATTGAAGTTGCTTCTTAAGGAATTAGAAGCTTACAATTGTTAAGGGAAAGTGATATACTTATATTCACAACATTTCAGTGATTTAATATAGCATTATTAATAATTTAACAGATAATTATATTCATGTCTTAGAAGTCTGCACATTAGTTAAAGGCTAATTAAAAAATCTTTAAGAAAATATCACAAACACATTCTATATTAAACTTTTTACTTTTCACAGTAATTTTATATTTTAGCAAAATCGTGTTTATGTTTTTATTTGTTGAATTTTATAGGATTTTTCTCTAAGTACTGTCAAACCTACTGGGTATTTGCTTATCAGTAGACTTTTAAGAAAAGTATCTATATGTGGATATATTACCAGTTCAATCACTCCATAGCAAACTTGAGGAAGGAATGCAAGTTCAGAATGTCCTTCTGGACAGGGTATTTTATCACAGTCCAGTGGCATTTATCAGATAAAAATATCTACAGAAAAACCATTCTGCTAGTGTATACATAAACTGTAAATCAAGAATCAGATGTTTGCCACAGGCCTGTGTCCGAGTGCTCTGTTCTCAGCTGTTGGAGCTGTAGATTACCCATGAGGGTAGAAATTGTCTCGAACTGCATAGGTTGTGGCGATGCAGATTATGTCTCAGCATTCAGGTAGAGATTAATATTTTACAGCTAGAAAGAAGAAAGACAGAAAGTTCCTCTTTTTTGGCAAAGGTAGCTTGGTAGAGAACTTTTGTTTACTAAAGAGAGATGAAAGAAGTAAGAGTATGAGATCAGCAGGGAAAAATGGGATTCAGGAAAACAACTCCACAAAATTCTATTTACAAGAATATGAGTCTTGTTTCTCAGTGAAATCCCGATGCTTCTTGGAAATAGAAATAAAATTATGCTCAGTAGCTTCAAGGTTTAGCTTTAGGTATGATGTATTAGCACACTTTGAACAATACAGTGCAAGCACCACGGTTGAAAGGATGTGAGGAGCTCAGTCAAGGAATGTTCAGATCTCTTATCAGATTTTTCACAAAGTAGCATTTCATATGTATGTTATTACGAAGCCATTATTCACATATGGCTGTCATCTCATGGCTTCAAACTGTATGAAAAGCCCAGTAACAACAACGTCTGTAACATACACCCTTCTTATTCTAGCACTTAAAATCCATGGCTTCAAGGGGATAGTTCTGTAATGATGGGATATTATGTGCTCAGGTGGTCTTTTGATGACAGGTGGTCTCCAACAACAGATGGCCTCAAAGGAGGAACTTCAGTGCATTTTAGTTTAAAACATTTACACATTTCTTTAAAAAAAAAATTTGAAATGTTATCCTTGTGTAATGTTCTTAAGTATTTTAGACAGAGTAGCCAAGTTATTAACACTGACAGATGATAAATCAGGGCATCCTTTAAAAGGTGGGTGATGGTGATTATGTGGTCTTGGAGCTTGCTTTGATCAGAAGTGACAGGCCTGTAAGGTCTGTGCCACTCAATCCCCCCTGAAGGGAGATCAGCACCTGTTTGCACTTTGAGGCTCCTCTACCTCCCACTGCCTTCCAGCACTATTTCATCTTTTTTAACACACTTGATGTTGATTGGCTTTAAGCAAGGTCATTATTCATTTACAAAACACTCTTTGATGGAGGTTACTCAAAACTGTATTTCAGTAGCAGTGTTTGTGGTGTTACAGTTAAGGTTGTAACAACATTCCCATTACAAAAGCTTTACTTTCAGTGAGCTACAAGTCAAAATCAGCCTCGGTGCGAATATTAACCTGGTTTCATTTTTTGTCCAAACAATAGCACATATTGCCCATGAATCTGTTCAGCCTGAGCTTTCTGTACCTTTACATGTTTATTCAGAAGGACATATGATCAGGTTTGTGAAACAAAGAGGTACTGGTTTCATAGATCAGATTTTAGCTTAATAAATACTGTTCCAAATAGCTTTGTCTTACTTGTGAAATGTAATGAATATTTCTAGAAAATAGCACAAAACGAGGCCTTGACTTCACAAAGAGCCATATG